GCATTATCCTGCCCATGTAATTGTAACCCCTCTGTACAGTATGTTCACAAATAAAATAAAATTAAAAAAAAAAGAACTAAAGCAGAATAAAAAGGCAGAGGTGGCATGTATGTTTAGAATGGGAGGCAGCAAATGAAGGTCAAGTGTTTGGATTTACATTTACATATAAATGTAATCATGAGGTCTCAGACCACTTCCGGCTTTTTTCTTTTTGCTTATGTGGTGCTGTGGAATAGAAATCAAGACCTCATGCATGCAAGGCAAGCGCTCTACCACTGAGCCACCTTCCCAGCCCCTGAAACTACTTTTTTTTTATCCTGCCTAGATGTTGACTGAATTATGCACCCGTTCCAATCAAGGCATGCTTAAATTTATCTTTTCTTAAAGTATAAAATACACCTAAAACAATCAAGCTGTTGTATAACCACCAAAACTCATCGTACATAAAACAGTCTAGCATAATCTCTAGTAAGTACAGTAAGTCTTCAAAAGAATAAACATGTTGGTAAAATCAGGGGTGTAGAGAGGAAAGCAGATGTGGAGATTGGTTAATGATAGTCAAAAAAAATAAAAGAGTGGTAGAGTGTTTGCCTTGCATGCATGACGCCCTGGGTTCAATTCCTCAGCACCACATAAGCAGAAAAAGCTGGAAGTGGTGCTGTGGCTCAAGTAGTAGAGCACTAGCCTTGAGTTGAAGAGCTCAGGGACAGCACCCAAGCCCAGAGTTCAGGCCCCACGACCAACACAGACACACAGACACACAGACACACACACACACACACACACACACACACGGAAAAAAAAATCACAAAAGAAAATTGATAGGTTTTTTTTTTTTATGAAGCATAGAAACTTACCATTTTCATTCTTCTCCACACAATCCATTTTCTCTTGGCAATGTTTGGGTGCCATCACAGTTGCTATTTCTTCAACATCTTTCATTAAAACATCACCATTGACTTTGAGAATACTTTTAAGTCTGCTGAGTTCCTTTGGGGCATTCTTCTTTCTCTTCTCAGCACGCATTTTCCTTTTCCACTTACTCCGTAAACTTTTAGCCATGATTCACCTGATAGTTACAAAAATACATATTCAAAACAAACTGTTTACTGTTTTTTTTAAAAAAAGGACAAATACTTGGGAAACTAGACCAATAAATATCTCTACAAAACAGTAACAAATGGAAGATAAACGACTTTGTTCAAGAATGGCTTCAAGTGTAATTTCTGTTAGGATCAATGTGGAACAAATAGTCATTAAAGAACAAGAAAGACAAATCAAACTCCCTGTGATCAAGGCAAACTGCAATCCAATTCCAAAAGCTCTTAATCATATGCAAAAAGTACCATTACTTTACATTTATGCAAGTTTACAAATTACAACGGGGCGGGGGGGGGGGGGGTCAATCTTGTGGCTTTAACTCCGTCTGGAGGCTGTTCCTGGGATTTTTTTCCCCCTCAAGGCTAGCACTCTAACAACTAAGCCACAGTTCCACAAAAACCTTCCTCCCCCCCCCCCCCTTGAGAGGTGGTGATAATTGGAGGTAAGAGTTTCATGGACTTCCCTGCCAGGGCTGGTTTCCAACCACTGTCCTCAGGTCTCCACCTCCTGAGTAGCTAGGATTACAGGGGTGAGCCACTCTCCACCGGCAAATTACAAGGCAATCCTCCCATTATTCTTACCCTTCCCCTCAGGCCAAGCTACTTTAAATTTATCAATTTCCATTCTAACTTCTTACATCATTCCCAGCCCTAGATCCTTTAAAAAGTAGTTAGTGTGAAGTCTGAAAAACCTTAGGGTCTGTCAGTGCCTTTCTTATTATTCTACTCTACTAGAGAACTTCTTTCCCTATATGTTCAAGATCATTTGAGAACTGTCCCTGCCTGCTTCCATTCTAACACATCTCTCTTCCCGCCTCCCCCTCCACACCTGTGCCCTCCACTACATTCCCCCGAAGTCCAAACTGTGTGCACTTCCTATGCGCAGTATCCCAGGCTTGCAACCTGCTCTAGCCAAGGCTGGCTCTTTTCAGCATCCCAGGACTTCTCCGACCAGGGTAAGCGTCCCTCTGCTCCTCCACTTGTGACAACCTCTGGACTGGAGGTCCAACCAAGGCAGAGACTGAAGTAGCTCTAGCTCACCGCCGGGCCCTCCGTGCACAGCGCTTTGATAGCAAGGGAAGTTAGAAACGTGTGTCCAATGCACGCAACTCTGGAGCGCCAATGACCACAAGCACGCTACTCCCCTGCCTAAAGCCACCCAGACGCGGCACGGAGAGCTGGGCCCACGTTCACCTCGGCAGGATCAACGACTGACTCCCTGGGCGGGCTGCACTTCACCCGGTGCGCGGGCAGGCCTCCGGGCCGCCTGCGGGCCGCGGACGCGGGCCCCGGACGCAGCGCTGCGTATCCACGCTGGAGGTCAGCCTGCGGTGAACTTCCCCATGGGCGGCAGAACCGAGCCCAGGTCCCACGCCGCCCGGGACTCACCAGAGGCTACGCCGCGCCGGCCACGAGCGACACTCCGCCGACAGGCCACACGCCGACCGGAAGCCCGCGCGCTCCCGGCTTCCGGCCAGGCGGACGCACTGCACGCCGGGAGCGCTGAGAGGCGGGGCCTCGGGAGCCCCGGCCCGGCGCCGTCTGCGCGGGCGTAGCTCGGGGTTGGGGGCGTGGCTGGCCCCAGCCGGGGACACGCGTGGGACCTGGCGCGTCGGGCATTCCCGCGACTGCAGGCCGGCGCCACGACCTGGTCTCGAGTGTGAGCCCGCCCAGGTCACCTTGCCTGTCCGGAAGCGAGCGGAGAGCCTCCCTTCACCTCCCGTCGTCACCTGATACTCTCTCCTTAGATCTCATCATCCTGGCTCCTGTTCTTCCAGGGACTGAGTTAAGATGTTTATTTAATTTTCCTGCCCAAGCTGATGGACGCTTTACACATGTGCAACGTATCTGTACACTAGTTTGATCTCAGGCAGTCACCCATACTAGAAAACAGTTCTTTCCCATCCCAAAGGAGAGTTCCAGGAGTAAAAAGATCAACAACCATTTGCCTGACATATTAACAAGTAACTGTGCTAAGAGTAGGGTAAGTGTCAGGTCATGAACACCATTTATTTTACGTGCCTCTAATGCTACAAGCTTCTGAACACTACAGGTCTTCAACACTTGTAAATGATATGGGTGAATGTCTTTAGAATCTGGATTTCCTTGCCCCTAAAAGGAAGATAACACAACCTCACTGCCCTAAATCGGTGGTTAAGAGCTCAAAAACATAGTAGCTCCTTTTCTACAGTATAGTTTCAAACTTCCCAAGATTATTTGCAGTGTTTTCTAGAGATTTACAATATAGACCAAAAGTCAAGAAAGTGTCCTTAATGACAGCCTAGTAAAATCTTGTGCAGTTGCTAGGTTTGTAAGACACTTTTGTACCTCTTGTTTAAATCTGTGTCCTTTATGAAACCATGCACCCAGATGGTGGCTCACTGTAATCCCAGCACAAGTTCAAGGCATGCTTTGGGCTACACAAAGAGATCCTGTCTGAGAAAGAATGTAAGGGAGAGGAAGGAGGGAGAAAGAGAGCCATACACAGTATGGAAACAACTGAATTCCATACACAGTATGGAAACAACTGAATTCAGAAAACAGAACTTTTTTCCCCCCTTAAACAAAAGCTGAAAACTTTACAATGTGTCATATAAAAAGGAAAAATGCGGGGCTGGGAAGGTGGCTCAGTGGTAGAGCGCTTGCCTTGCATGCTCAAGGCTCTGGGTTAGATTCCTCAGCACCACATAAGCAAAAAGAAAAAA